CTCTGTGCTGATCGCTCAGAACTTGGAGCCTGCTTCCAATTCTGTCTCCCTGCTCTCTCTGCCCCTCCACCACTCGTGCTCTGTCTCTCTCAAAAACTAAATAAACATTAAAAAAAAACAAAACCCTGAAACATTTCAAACTTCAGACTCCTAAACAATCTTATTATCAGCTTCCAAATTATCAACTCACAGCAGATCTTGGTGCTCTTTCCCTCCTTGATTATTTTGAAGCACATCCCTGACATAAGTTTCATCTATGAATTTTCGATGAACCAGAAGAGGAGTTAGTAAAACTTTACAACCGGTACCATAACTAACAAGCTGTATCTTTAAAAAAAATTTTTTTTAAACGTTTATTTTTGAGAGACAGAGAGAGACAGAGAATGAGCAGGAGAGGAACAGAGAGAGAGAGGGAGACGCAGAATCCGAAGCAGGCTCCAGGCTCCGAGCTGTCAGCACAGAGCCCAAAGCAGGGCTCGAATTCACAAACTGTGAGATCATGACCTGAGCTGAAGTCGGACGCTTAACCGACTGAGCCACCCAGGTGCCCCTGTATCTTTAAATATCAAGTCAGAATTTAAATGTCTAGTTAACTCGTAAATGTCATAAATTTGTTATAAGTTTGTGTGTTTGGATCAGGATCTAAATAAATAAGATCCACATGTTATGGGTTGATAACTCTGTCCAAAGTTTTAGTCACCTGTGCTTTGCACTGTAGTGGACCCAAGCCACATCATTGTCTAGATAATGATGGTCTAAATCCATTAGTTCCTTAGGAGTTACAAAATGGCACTATTCTATCTTATTTATTGGTTGGAATATTGCTATAAAAAATTTGTTTCACAGTATATGCAAATATTAAGTTGTTATGTTATATACCTAAAACTAATGTAATATGTTATACCTCAGATAATTTTTGTTGTCACTACTATCCGATACTCTGGTATAGAGTACTGTGCTTGCTCGTTTTCCTATATTTACTAATTTTCCCTACCATCCTGTAAAGGTGGCTAATGAGGTTTTTAAGTTTTTATATGTCATGGTGAACTCATGGGTATAAATGTGTTAGCTCTGTTTTAATCTAATGCTGTTACTATTCTTAGGCTCCAGTTACCCACCTTTGGCCAGTAAGAACTCTTTCTTTTTTTTTTTTTTT